TCTATGAGTGGCATTGAGACTCTAAAATGGCAGGCGTGATTACAATTTCCGGTTCAGTGGCAAACTAGCCTCTGTCTCCCCAAAATTTGCCTGCCCATTTCAAAGCTTATCCATTGAACCACACTAAACCGGATCCCGTACCAAATTTATTATTTTGTTTATGTGCGACTGATTTCCGGTACATCCACCCAATGACCCAAATCCCAGAGATCATCTCTCAATTATCATCATCAGGATTAACATTAGTAATGGCCTCGTTCCCGCCAAAACCTCCTACATCAACGTTGCATTTTTTTATTTGGTATTTTATCACAACGCTGAAAGCCTGAAACTTTTGTGGTTTGCTCACAGCATCTTATCCTTGAAATTTTGCCACTTGGTTAATTTGTTTTGTTTTGGAAAAATTTGAAACCTAAAGGCATTAGCAGAGCATCCCCCAATCCGAATCTCAATTCTTTCCCAAAAGCCCAGACACACAGACATGATGAATCCCTTGTTTCCGTGACCGACAAAATCATCAGCTATACGACGTCGCTTGCTCTTTCTTTGGTCAGCGGGTTGATCGGAGAAAAAACATCTTTTAATATTATTGCCACATCACACAAAATACTCTTGACCAAAATAATACTACGTGTCATTAAAAATATTCGGCAAAAAACTAAACTTAAATTTTTTTAGTTAAAAGTTATCAAATCCGGCCCATATAAAGCCCAACAAATATTTAACCTAATCTGTTGTCTTCTTCCTTAATACTTACTTAATATCCTAATACCTTCCGCCGCCGATCCCCAAAGAAACAAGTAAAAGAAATGGAGAGGTTGATCAGCGGAGACACAACGAACAAGAAGAGGAAGACAACGTCGTCGAAAAAGAAGAGGAAGAGAACGTCGTCGAACAAGAAGAGGAAGACAACGCCGTCGAACAAGAAGAGGAAGACAACGCCGTCGACGCCGCAATCGACACCAAATCCGTCACTTCCCGATGATCTGCTATTGCTCATCATCGCACGCGTCCCAATATTATTCTATCCGATTCTCTCACTCGTCTCCAAGAGCTTTCGATCTCTCCTGGCTTCACCGAGGCTTTACAAGGCCCGGTCACTCTTGGGCCGCAGGGAGAGTCGTCTCTATGTGTGCATAGATATGTATCCTTATAAAAACGGCCCTAGCTGGTTCACCCTCTGCCGGAAACCTGATCGAACAACCAGTACTAATAAGGAGCAGGACAAGTCAAGTGGTTATGTCTTGGCAAGAGTCCCAATTCCCCATTCTCCTTTGTCTCAGGATAATAGCCTCGTGGCCGTTGGTTCTGATATCTATAACATTGGCGTGGTCCGATCCTTCGAAGCGTCCTCCTCTAGTGTCTGGATTCTGGATTGCCGGTCTCACACGTGGCGCCAGGCTCCAAGCTTGCCGGTGGAGCTATATACAGTTACTGTTAGCGTCCTTGATCAAAAGATATATGTAGCAGGGATATGCCTAGAAGATGGCTCGGATTCCACCACGGAGAACTCGCTCACGGTGTTGGACACAAAAACACAAGTAAGTGCTCGGGTGCCTATCCCATGCAGCGTGGCACAAGGCAAGGAGATCTTCCTAAGCACATGTGTTGGCGGAAAGGTCAACCTAGTTACTGGGAGAGAGGTGGTCGATTACAATCCAGTGGAAGGTAGCTGGGAGGAGGTTGGAGAAACCATGTGTCATTTTATGTTTGCTAAATGTTTTTGCGTGGTTGATAATGTTTTGTACTCGTGTGCTATTGACCGAGTGTTCAGATGGTATCACGCTGAGGTAAGAACGTGGAGAAATTTGGAGGGTTTGGTAGGACTACCCGAGTTATCTCCGGATGCTTTTGTTAGATTGGCTGATTATGGTGGAAAGCTCGTTGTTTTGTGGAACCGTGGTTACGACCGTTGGAAGATGCTTTGCTGTGCCGAGATTTCGCTTGAAAGGCGCAATACTTGTGAAATTTGGGGGAAAGTTGAGTGGTTTGATCATGTCCTTAGTGTCCCTGGGTTAGATTCTTACAACGCTCTTTCTGCTACTCTCTGATCATGAATGTGTCAGAATGCTTGAACCGTGTCTTCTGTTTGTGTACCCTTGTATGGTGGTCTTTATTCTATGGTATTTTAGCATTTATTGGCTTTGATTTCGATTTGTTTAGTTTATTTATTTGTCTTGCTCTTTTGGTTGTTAGTTTAAGATCACTTTCTCTTGTGCCTTTTGTAAAGAGAGTATTGGAATGAACAAGTATCCTGTTTGAGCTTTGTAGCAAACGGAGTTTTCATTTTCTTGAATAAATTATGCAGTGGAAGATACCAGGAATGTATTATTTGTTTCTCCTCCTGCACAGCATGCATTTCTGTGGCCTATTTGTTAAATCTGAAAGTTTTGTTTCTTGTAATCAATGGACCAAGTAAACAATAACAGTGAAAATTTCGCGTGCAAAGACCAAAATGTTGAATTTAGGAAAGGCGCGTTGATACCCTCGTTTTTGGGTGGTAAAGAAGATAGCTTACTCATTTCCCTCTCCAAGGATCTCTTAAGAGTAAACCACCCTGATTTTGTTCAATCTTACTAGAACCACGTGGTATAGGCTGATTTCTTAATATGAATTATGTGGGGTACAAACACTAAATGTTAAAATTCTTGTAGATGTATTTTCAGATGGGAGTCCACTTATCTAAGAAGAGGTTGATGTAGGTACGCGAAACATGCTAATCTTCAAAATTCATTAGCGCGGGGAGGTACTATGTGTTCCTAATTAGCGCCAAAGTTATTTCCATTCAAAGTACCCAACTACTTGGTGCAGTAGTAGTATATTGTCTAAGCAGGCATGTCTCCCTTTATCTGCATTCAGTTTCTACTTCATTTCTACAAATCATTGTTCCAGAGGACCAGTTTCTTGCTCAAAATCCGGTAATGTTTTCTTTTTGTTCTTCCTTGTGACTTGACTCGTGTATCTAACTAGGAGTAATACATTTTCAGGGTCCCTCTTGGATCATGATCAGGGTTTTTGGTGCAGACGACGATGGTGGTGTCTTTGATGTCACGGTGGATTCGTTATCACAAAAAGTGGCAAGTTTGAAGAAGAGAATAGGTTTGGAGATCCAGATTCCAGCACACAGACAGATGTTAAGTGGAAAAGCTGGGGTTTTAGAGGACAAGAGGTCACTTGCACATTACAATGTTGAAGCAGGAGAAATTCTAACAGTGTCTTGGTGACAATGTTTTTGTGTGCAAGGAAATGCTTGCTTTTGTTTTAGTCTTAAAATCTCAAGAGGGGAATACTGAGTCACGGCCTCGCGGGGGTTTACAGCAACCTCTGAAGCAGAGATGGTGGAGAGTGTGTCAATACTAAGAATAACATGGTTTCCTATCAAGGAACTTGACGGTATAAAAACATGAACTTCCACTTTCTACAACAACAAACTAATAACTTAAAAAATGATACCAAATTCATGATTTAGTAACCTGATCTAATGAATTATCTACACACAAATCAAGAGACAGCCCATTAACAGGTAAAAGCAACACCATTGATAGTGATAGGAACTCTGAAACAAAGCAACAACTTGAACCTATCCTTAGCATACGATGCAAAAGTTTCCATTGAAATATTAGCAATAGTCCGGTCATTCTTAATGCAAACCATAATCTATACTCATCCCAAAATCTCATAATCTATCAAATGTTTCATCATCTTATTATATATTTACAACGGCCTCTACTACAAGAGTGTAATTGAAGGTCCATGACCCAAGTTGCAGTATCCATATCACATTTTGAAGTCCAAAAAGAGATTTAAAAAAAAAAAATCTATAACAACCAAAAAACAAAGATACTAGGAGGATTTGTCATAGCGAATAGTGATGTGACACGTAGAAAAAGCCCATATGGCATCAGCCTCATAGATGGGTGTAACTTGTAAGGAACTTGTTGCATTCCTTTCTGGTTTGGAGCCTAACTTTTTGTTTTTTTGTCTTTCAATTCTCATCTTTCACCATCGCTGTTTATGTGATTTTACGATTATGCCATTTCGACCCACATTTTAAGGACTAGTCCAAACATCTTAGAATTACAAATGACGTTTAGAACAAACGGAATACACGGAACTATGACAACTATGACAACCATGGCACAAGTCTCCACATGTAGTGATGTAGCGTCCTAAACATATCCACACTCCTTAACATAAAAAAATCTACTATCTCTCGAAAACGAATCCAAAACAATAGACAGTAAATCTACTAGAATTTAAACATACGTTTACTTTTTCTATATCTTATCTTTTATTAACAAAATACACCAAAGAATAGTCATTTATGTATATACATTTGTATCACCTTATGGTTTACAAATATCTTTGTTTTAATGAAAAAAATAATCATTCATAAATTAAATTGATGTGATTCACACTAAAATATACATGGTTTAAGTCTTTTACTAAAGCTAAAATATACATGGTTTAAGTCGTTGTTCAAAAAAAAAAAGTCTTTTACTAAAGCTAATTTGGTTTATAAAACATATCTGTACTAGAAATCTAGAAATTAATTAATTAAATATTAAGTATATACATTTGGCCTTAGATGGAAAAGAATCAAAAAATCAAATTATATAAGTAAAAAATCTAATCAAATAATAAGAAAGTTTTTTTTTTTTCAGCATCAAATAAATAAGAAAGTAACCGACTATAAACAGAAGAAAATCAAAGGCGAGGAAATAAATTAATTTGAGTGAGGGCAAGAATGTAAATTCGATAAGATACAAGGGTGGGGTAGATTTAGTCAATTAAAAATATTTGAGGGCAATTTTAATCACACGAAACAGAACCGTCCTTCACTTGTTAATTGCTTATTTTAATTCACAAAAGTTTTAATTTTGAAAAAGCATAAAAAGCACTTAACTTACCCAAAAACCAAAAAAATTGTGGCCTCATTTGCATTTTAAACCACACCACAGCTCTCTCTTTCTATCTCTCTCTCTCTCGCATAAAAGGTTAACCTCAAACAGGTAGCTCTTTCCATGGCGGCAGGACTCTCAACCGCCGTTACATTCAAACCTCTCCACCGCTCTTTCTCCTCCTCCTCCTCCGATTTCCGCCTCCGCCACCCAAAATCCTTATCCGGATTCTCTCCGTCTCTCCGATTCAAAGGCTTTTCTGTCTGTTACGTCGTGGAGGAGCGAAGACAGAACTCTCCGATTGAGAACGATGAACGACCGGAGAGCACGAGCTCCACCACCGCCATAGACGCCGAGTATCTCGCGTTGCGTTTGGCGGAGAAATTGGAAAGGAAGAAATCAGAGAGGTCCACTTATCTAATCGCTGCTGTGTTGTCAAGCTTTGGTATCACTTCTATGGCTGTTATGGCTGTTTACTACAGATTCTCTTGGCAAATGGAGGTATAATAAAACAAACAAACAAAACCAAATTCGAAATTGATCCGAAATTCCAAAATCTCTCAATAGTTTTTTATTGTTTTTGGTTGCAAAATCAAAGGGAGGTGAGATCTCAATGTTGGAGATGTTTGGTACATTTGCTCTCTCTGTTGGTGCTGCTGTAAGTTCATACTTCAAAACCTCATCTCAATTTTTTCGATTCATAAACAAAGTTTGGCTGAGAGTTTTTTTACTCGAATTTTGGATATTTTTCAGGTGGGTATGGAATTTTGGGCAAGATGGGCTCATAGAGCTCTCTGGCATGCTTCTCTATGGAATATGCATGAGGTTGCTTGTTTGCTCAATTTCGTCGAATAATATTCTCATCTTGAGTATCCAATTTTGAATTTTGTGGGTCTTTGTGTGTGTTTGCAGTCACATCACAAACCAAGAGAAGGACCGTTTGAGTTAAACGATGTTTTTGCTATAGTGAACGCTGTTCCTGCGATTGGTCTCCTCTCTTATGGATTCTTCAATAAAGGACTCGTTCCTGGTCTCTGCTTTGGCGCCGTAAGTCCCTCTTTCATTGGTCTTACTAAATTAAATTCACAAACCAATTTCCAACATCTTTGACTCTATGGTTTGGTCGTTTTTTTATTTATTAATTTAAACACTAGTTAATCACCAGAATTAGGAAATTTCGGTGGCTTTTTATCGGTCTATAAGGTTGGAAAATAAAATAATAGTAGTGGAGTGAGATTAATCATACGTTAAAACCGAATTTAATTAACGTATCTATGTGGCAGGATTTTGTGTCTCTCTGTATTTATATTTTAATACATGTGATGACAATTGACTTTGTTTGGTTGTATTAATATTTAATACAAATGACCTGGTGGCTTAATTTAGCTCTTTGTCTCGTGCTTGAAACAGGGATTAGGAATAACGGTGTTTGGAATCGCCTACATGTTTGTCCACGATGGTCTGGTGCACAAGCGTTTCCCTGTAGGTCCCATCGCCGACGTCCCTTACCTCCGTAAGGTCGCCGCCGCTCACCAGGTTAACTTTTTTACCTGGGTCAATTACTACAACGGTTCCTTTCCCAAAATAGAAATCATTATTTCTTTACATATTCTTAATAATCATATTTGATTTAATAGTTTCTATGTTAATGATTAATGTTTCAGTTACATCACACAGACAAATTCAATGGTGTACCATATGGACTGTTTCTTGGACCCAAGGCAAGTCTCTTGATAGCTTTAATTCTTCTTAATCTTCTTCATGTTGCTGGCTTTTTTTTTACTAATTTGATTATGTGTGTTTGGATTGGTGATTCAGGAATTGGAAGAAGTTGGAGGAAATGAAGAGTTAGATAAGGAGATTAGTCGGAGAATCAAATCATACAAAAAGGCCTCCGGTTCCGGGTCGACTTCTTGACTTCAAACAAGTTTTATATCCCAAATTCTTTTTTGTCTTCTCTTATGATCATCTTAAGACGGTCTATGTTGATAAATCCTATATGCCGATTTTGATTTTAATGAAGATTTTTTAATATAAATAGTCTAATTATAATTAGCCTTTGAATTTGATTTACCCTCTATTTTCCTATAACTGTGCGTGTAACAGGTAAGCACTGTAGCGACCATTGGGCTGAATTACGTTTGACTTCATTCAAACCATTACATATTTTCGTTCCCATTACTTTGTCCATTTCTTTTTGCATATTGTTTTGTTAATTAATAACAATGACATTAAAAAAACGTAAAAGAAACCCGAATATAAAACTAGAATCGTTGTTGTTAAAATCTTTCGCTTATGTATGCAACCAGCAAATATTCATGAAGTCAAATATTTCTTATCTGATAAATCAAATGACATCTACATAGATTGATGTTTATGGATTTTTCCTCTTTACGTAGATTAATATATGCATTTTTATACGCTTACGTTCACAGTATGGCAGCTTCTTCGCGATCTTCTGGAGATTGTTAGACGCCCTCGTTGCGTGTAATTAAGGACATAGTTTTGAACTATACATGTTAAATAAATGAAAATTGCAGCATCCATATGAATAAATTTGTATTAGATAATTGAATATTTTCCTGTGACACTTCTGGTTATATTATATAAAACAATGTTATTTTAAAAATAAAATTGTGAGAATAGAAATGGTTGAGACACCTACATAAACACTAAAACTAACTTTTCACGTAATAGAGAGGATTATATATAGTTTACACTACACAATATGGACAGGTCGAGTTCTGTATATAAAGTTAATTATTTGGCGGGTGGGATCATAAAAGGGAAATTACTTTTAAACGTAAAGTTATTGAAACGTGTTACGTGTTACGTGCCTGTCCAATATATCTCACTAAGTGGACGCATCACAATATTTCCTCATGCTCACCAATTCTAATTAAGTGGAACTTATTATGTGCACTCCCACGACACTATCCAATTAAATCCCAAGAGATAAGGAAAAGAATTATCTGTTTATTGTAAATAAATATACGTTTTTTTATCTTAAAATGAATTGAGAATTAATAAAACGTGTTTGGTCACCGAAAGATATGTTATGGTCTCATGACTCGCACTTTAGTCATATGTCCAACAAATACAGGTTTTAAAAACTTGTAATTGAAAAGGGGAAAGTGGGAGAAAGAATGAGGTGGCGTGGAGGAATAATTAGATAAGGACACAAAAGTGCAATAGAAAAGTCGATGGTAACTTTCTATTGACACAAATAGGAAGTTGGGTACGCATTTGACGAATAAGCAAGCTCCAATAATAACCGTTAACACACTAATCAAACCATCATTACACATTATCTTATTATACATTTTTTATTAAGTCAAGATTGATTCGTGGACGAATGATATGTCTTGTGGCTACTCCACCAACCAAAATGACGATTAATATTTTTAACCTAACCAAAATGACGATGATGTGTTATCCCAATACGAAAAGTGAATAAACACCCACGCGTTTTGCAATGTCCATTTTCAAATGACTAATAGGTTAATATTTTGCTACGTGTCTTAGCGACACTTAAAAGCTTAAGTCCACTGAAAAGTTTATAAATCAAGAGAGCATTCTTGAAAAATTTAATGCAAGCAAGACTCACTAATCCTCTATTCCTCTTATTACACTCGCATAGAGAAACTATCAAAAAGTACTCAAAATAATCCACAAATTTGAAACCATCCGAATCACATGAAATATATGATCTTCTACATGAACGTAACCTGAATTAGTGAAAAAAAATTGAGATAATAATTTTAGATGGCTGAATTAAGCTAATGGACAAGACATGGTTGCTGAGGAAAAAAAAAAGGGACAAGACATGGTTGCACCGGTCCAAGTGTAGAAGTCCCAAAGGAAGGAAACTGCAAGTAAAATTTGCCACTAAAAATCATTTTCCACGTGGCTAATTTTGATTGGATATAGACAAGAAGTCGGTCTACGTTTCCTGAACTATCTCATGTTCTGTCCGTCTCTATAGAGTCTTCTGGATCCAGAAAGCTACGTTTCTCTCTTTCTCTCTGTATTATCCGATTAAATTAGAGTAGTTCTTTGAGGCAGCTGCTTCTATGCCATTTTATAGAGGTTTGGATCCAATTTCATTTTTTTAATTGAATTGACTTCTTTCGAGATTCTTTTTTCGATCAGCTTCATCTGTTCCTCGGATTTAATGGTTAATTATGGGTTTAAGGCTAGTTAGACAATTCAATTATGATGCAACATGAGTTTCTGAGGCAGATCTGGTCTCTCTCGATTGATTGCTTCTAGTTTCATCCAGTACTTAATAATTCTCAGCGATCTTGTCTCCTATGCCCTGTGATTTGGTCTTAACTGATGTTTCGTGAGGGTTAATAATTTTTTAGGCACTATTGGCGATTAGGTCTTCAATACTTCATTGAAATTATCAGGCTTTAGCTTGTTTAATGTAACTTCTATCTTGGGTTGTTGTTGACTGTTGAAATCGTTAGTTGATTTATGCTTGACTTGGTGTCTTTTTAGGTTCCTTGAACTGCAATTGTTAGCTTCTACAAGTTTGAATGCTCTTGTTTTAACTGTTGCTTAAAGATTGAGATGTTAGGCATAAGGCTTCTGTGTTACTAAAAGCTAATCAAGTAATCGTCAATGCAGAAAATGGGAGAGTCTACGGGATATGGGAAAGGAGGACGAATGATTCCAAATCATAAGTCTGCAAATTCTTATAACCTCTTCCTTCAGTTGTCTGCTGTTGACTCTGTTTGGGATTGTATTGTTCGGACCATGAGGTATTCCTATATACCTGAGTGGTTGTAGTCTTTGAAATCCTCTAAGACAACGAGTTTAGTGTATTTTACTTAGTTAGAATTGTAGAGTTATAGCAAGCAAATATGGATCACCGGGTGTGCAAGCAAGTTGTTCAGCCAGTTACTAGTAAAGTGAAGAAGCATGGTAAAGATGAATTTGATCGTATCAAACAAGCTGAGAAGAAGAAAAGACGTTTGGAGAAAGCTCTTGCTACTTCTGCAGCCATTCGGGCTGAGCTTGAGAAGAAGAAGCAGAAGAGATTAGAAGAACAACAAAGGTTAGATGAAGAAGGTGCTGCAATTGCAGAGGCTGTTGCTCTGCACGTCCTACTGGGCGAAGATTCTGATGATGCATCTCAAGGCAAGCTTGGCGACGAAAAGTGTTTCACGATGGATCTGTTTAGGGATGAAAGAACCAACTATGTCCCTCGCCAAAGTTGCGCTAGCTATGCGGTCCAAGGGATTGGGTTTGTGTCAAACGGTTATGGACTAGGAAACAGTAACTGGTCAGTGTCATATAAGCCATTCATGAAGGATGTTTGGGATAGCAGCATGGTAATATCTGCAGATTTGATTGCTGCTCAGGCTGTTTCGTCACTACAGATATCTGAGGACGCTGATAGGAACGCGTTTGTCTTCGAAACAATGTTCCAGGGATGACAAAAGCCCTGGTGCCAAATTTGGCTGCAGAAAGAAGTGTTTGCTATGAGAGGAGTTGCAGCTTTTTTCTCTTTTCTAGAAGCCCTTTTGGTGTGAAAACTCTTTTTGTTGTTTTATCTTTTGATGTTAGACTAGCTGAAAAGATGTTATCTTCTGATTTCTCTCTGTAACATTCACAAGTGCGTTTTAAGTTGTATACCTAGTACCTTTTGAATCACGTGATTATCCAAATTCAACCACAATTTCTAGTGTATTGAGACTAATAAACCTTTTGACGTTAAGATTTGACCGTAACAACCGAGAATGATCTTAACAAAAGCACACGTTGAGCTAAACACTGAAGAAAATTTTAAGGGTTCAAACGTTGATACAGAGTAATGGATACAGACGAGGAGAATAGTGCGTGTGACTTTTGGACCGGTATACAGCTAACCGAATGCATTGTGGTGGATCAGTACGGTTGCTACTGAAACAGTAGAACATCAGAGTCACGGCTTGGTTTCTTCTGACTGGTGATTGCAGGATTTGCATCTTCCTCTTTGTTCCCTATCTCTGTACTTGTGGAGGGTTTGGCTGTGTTAAGTAAGCCTTTGAGCCAACTACCTTGCAATCTCAAGTTCCCGCTTTCTGAATTGTTGAGAGTTCCCGATCGTTGAGGAGAGCCATTGGAGCCATTGGTTACGTTTGAGGTAACATTCGAGAGGAAGCGATACGCAACTTTACTAGCTGACACAAGTTCAGTTTTGGCTTGCTTCATCTACAAGATCCCAATTTACAAGATTTGAACACCCATAATGTTGCATTTACGTTGCAGAAAAGCAAAACAAAAGAGAACCCACCCGCATTGCTGTGTTTCCTGCCACTTCCAAGGCTGTGTCACCAGCATTAGCAAACCGATTCACCCAACCTGTTAAGAGACAGAATACAGGCAGTCACATAAGCCTTGAAGACAGCACACACACAAACTCTGATTCCCAAAAAATGGCTTTACCTGGGATCTTTGGCACACCAAGCCGGTCACAGAGTACATCACAGAAGTGATTGCAATTTTTTGACAACAAATCATAAGTGTAACCTGGCCATTCCCTGCTGAGCTCACGCAACATCTGATTTACCATGAAGATTGTGCAATCTGTTTTTCCAAGGACGATTTTCTCACGGTATGTGTACATTGGATTCTTGCCACTGGGGCAGCTGAATACACCAGTTCCTTGTTCACAATACCCGTAAGACCATTCATCACCTCCATATACCTGCACATATTCATAAGATATGCCTTTCAATTACTCTTCCCTGCGAATCAATAGTCATGTAAAAGATACAAGAAAATAACAAAACCATGAACAAGAATAATCAAATGAGAGCACTAATTGAAAACCTAAAGTCAAGAGCTGGTAGTTTTAAAGGCACAGACCTAATTTCTAACTCCACCAAATTGTCACGACTCAAATGGGAAAGTGGTATTTGCAATTATATTTGCCCAGGTCAAAGATCAATGAAGTAAACGTAAGCCATCATTGAATTTAACAAGTCTCCAGAGAGCACTTTGTCAATATATCGCAATCATTATCCTATGCAAAGTTACCGAAAGTACTAGGAAACACAAGATCCTGAGTGGAGAGAAGCAAAAGAGAACTTCAGCTCCAAACCTTTAGGACCATAAACCATTAAACTAGAGCCTCACAGATCAAAAAAAAAGTATCATACCTGTCAAGTTCTCCATTTCTAGATACATACACGCATAAACACAAACCAATTCTACTCAAAGTAGACAAAAACCAAGCAGAGACATCATCGATACACGTACATATGAAGAATATAGACGAAGATCGAAGCAGTGGAGTACCTGAATGGCGCTGTGGAATATACCGCCTAGACCGATCCCGTCTTTGAAGAACCTATTGATCTGAACAATGGTGTTGTTAGTCTTCTCCGATCCACTGTTCGTCACATCGTATATGTGGAGAACAACCTCCGTCATTGATTATATCTTTACCAAGAAACACGAACCCTCCTAGTTCCTAGGAAATTGAGCTCGCAGATTCTTTCTATATAGAGCTTTTGGTGAAGAAGGAAACCTAAAGACTCATACCAAATCCACTTTCGTTAAACGAATCCAACACTAGATCTTTCCCAAATCCACAAGAACCCTTTTATCTTTCTTCTTCTCCCGATTATTCAATTTCAGAATCAGACGTAGGAGATGAAGAAGAAACTGGTGCGGCGGTGGTGGTGGTGGAGATTGGGATCCATAGAAATGACACTTTTACCCTCGCTTTTCCTGCGGATTTGCTACTTTACGTGCTCCTTGTTAATTCCTTTTTTTTTTTCCTTGTTTCGTTTAGCATTTGTAATCAAAATAAGTAAGCGTTTAGATTGTAATTAAGAAAAGATATCAAAATACCTTAACTAATCTGAAAAAGAATACAAAAAAAAAAATGAATGTTGGGCTAAACAAAGTAAGGAGCCGGTGAGTTATAGTTGGTCGTCGAAGTTGGTCACGTACACGATTTGGATGAAAGATCAATCTAATGGTGGATGGGTGATCTTGCTGTGTCTAAATTGTTTGAACAAGGTTTTGTATCCTATTATCAAACTGTATTCACACTTCAAAGTTCAAAGTCTCATTTTGGGGGTTGAATGCACATAGCAACGACAAAAAAAAAGAGAATGCACAAAGCTAAAGTCAAGCTGATAAACTTTGAATGCAAATTAAGCCCCATTTATTTTAGAAAATTAGTAAAGCTTTTATTGGGCTAATAATGTAAGGTAACACGACACTTGTACACTCTGTGTTTCGCATAAAAAATTTCGATAACATCGGAATCTAACGGCTGCTAATAGCCCTAGATGGGACCTACAAATACTGGAGTAGACGAAGTCGCACCGGCCAAGTCTCAAAGTCCCAATTGAAAACTTACACTTGAAAAAAAGTCAGCCACCATCGACACGTGTCCTCTTTTCATTAGAAGAAGACACGCTACGTTTCTTTCTTTGTACTAGTAATAGTAATCCTTCTATTATCCTCTCTCGTTTTCTTCTTCGTCTCTTTTTTTATTAATACAACATCCATCTCTTAAAATTCCTCTTTCTCTCTTTCTCTCTTTCTCTCTAGTTTCGTCTGCATCAAACCAGCAACTTTACTTCTGCGTTTTTGTTTCTCTCTCTCTATTTTCCGACGATAATTTGAAGGAGTCTTTTGAAGGCAGCTGCTTCTATGCCATATTGCAGAGGTTTAGATCCAATTTCACCATTTTTTTTTTTTTTTTTTTGTTTATCTTCAATTTCCCTACATCTTTTCAATAGAATTGACTTATTTTGTTAAGAGTCTTTTTGATTAGCTTCCTCGGTTTTTATGCTAATTTATGGATCTTAAACGTATTTAGTGGATGGATTAAATCCGATTGTTTCTGTTATTATTTTGGTCGAATTTAGGTTGAATTTTGATCTGACATTAGTGTCTGAGGCAGATCTGGTTTCGTGTGATTTGATCCATTAGTCTAATTGAGTTATTTGCTGAGGATTAAGAAAGCTCGTGAAATTTGCCGTATAATTGACTCTTTCTGTGGATGGATACCCGCAGATTTTTTACATGAGTTCTTAAACTTTGGTCCTACTCTGGGAAATTAGGGTTTCAATAATCATTAGGTTTTAATTTTTTGCTGTTGTTGACTGTTTTCAATCTATATAAATTGTTGGCTGAGTTTGTTTGACTTTTTTAGGACTTTGGTTTCTTTTGAAGTCCTTAGAACAATTGTGTCTGCTTGGTTGGTCTATTTTGCATCCACAACTGTTAGCTTTTACAAGTTTGAATGCTATTGTTTTGGCCTTAAACTGTGTTCTTGGTTTAAAGATTCTGATGGTACTCCTCTGCAACTTTAAACTTACCAAGTAATTGTGAATGCAGAAAATGGGCGAGTCTAAGGGGTGCGGGAATGTGGGACGAATGATTCCAAAGAATAAGTCTGCGAATTCTTATAACGTCTCTCTTCAGTTGTCTCCTGTTGTTTCTTTTTGGGATTGTATTGTCCGCACCATGAGGTATTCCTATATACCAGAGTGGGTGTAGTTCTTGAGTTACTCTACGACATCATCGAGTTTAGTGCAGTTATTTAGTTAGAATTATATAGTCAAGCAATAATGGATCACACGGTGTGCAAGCAAGTTCAGCCAGTCGTTAGGAAAGCAAGGAAGAAACATGGTAAAGATGAATTTGATCGTATCAAACAAGCTGAGAAGAAAAAGAGACGTTTGGAGAAAGCTCTTGCTACTTCTGCAGCCATCCGGGCTGAACTTGAAAAGAAGAAGCAGAAGAGATTGGAAGAACAACAAAGGTTAGATGAAGAAGGAGCTGCAATTGCAGAAGCTGTTGCTCTGCACGTCCTACTGGGCGAAGATTCTGATGATTCATCTCGGGCCATGCTTGGTGAAGAAAAGGGTTTCACAATGGATCTGTTTAGAGATGAAAGAACCAACTATGTTCCTCGCCAAAGTTGTGCTAGCTATGCGGTTCAAGGGATTGGGTTTGTGTCAAATGGTTATGGACTAGGAGATAGTAACTGGTCGCCATTCACGAGGAATGCTTGGGATAACAACATGGGAATATCAGCCGATTTGATTGCTGCTCAGGCTGTCTCGGCGTTACAGATATCTGAAAATGCTGACGGAAACGCCTTTGTGTTCAATGGGATGTTCCGGGGATGAAAAATGCCACGACTCGTCCTCATCTGGTCTCTAAAATAAACATTTGCCTTCTGCTTGCTTTGGTGTGAATGCTTTGTTGTTTTTCTCTTGACGTTAGTCCTTATACTCTGTTTTCGTTCGCTGTAATATTACAGACGCATTTTGAGTTGTATCTATCTATCATACATGTTGAAGTCTCTTCATATCTGCATTGTTGCTTATCTTATATCACATTCTCTTAACAAACCCTTTGACCTTTAGCAATGCATATGCTAAGGCTTGCTTGGTAATGGTATTGCCAGTAAAAACGTGTTAAAAATATCTTCTTAACAAAATCACACGTTCTGCTGAAAAACGGAAAAAAGAGAGAGAGAGAGAGGTGTGTTCGAATGGTGGTACAAAGTAATGGATACAAATGAATAACTTTTGGATAGGTGGATATACACAGTTAACCGGTGGATCAGTACAGTTGCTACTGAAATAGTAGAACATCAGAGTCACGGCTTTGCTTTTTCTGATTCGTGACTGCATGATTTGCATCTTCCTCTTTGTTCCCTATCTCTGTACTTGTGGAGGGTTTGGCAGTGTTAAGTATACCTTTCAACCAACTACCTTGCAATCTAAAGTTTCCATTGTCTGAACTGTTGAGAGTTCCTGGCCGTTGTGGAGAGCCATTGGAGCCATTGGAACCATTGGTTATGTTCGAGGTAACATTCGAAAGAAAGCGATAAGCCACTTTACTAGCTGACACGAGTTCAGTTTTGGCTTGCTTTACCTGCAAAAATCACAATTCACAAGGATTTAACATCCACAAGCATTCAGGTGTAAGAAAGAAACAGCGTGGGTAGAGCAAAATGAGAGAGAACCCACCCGCATTGCTGTGTTTCCTGCCACTTCCAAGGCTGTGTCGCCAGCATGAGCAAAACGATTTACCCAACCTGTTTAAGAGACAGAATACAAGCAGTCACATAAGCCTTGAAGACAAAAACACACACACAAACTCTGATTCCCAAATTATGGCTTTACCTGGGATCTTTGGCACACCAAGCCGGTCACATAATACATCGCAGAAGTGATTGCAATTTTTTGACAGCAAATCATAAGCGTGTCCAGGCCACTCCCTACTGAGCTCACGCAAGATCTGATTTACCAAGAAGATTGTACAATCTGTCTTGCCAAGAACAATTTTCTCACGATATGTGTACATTGGATTCTTGCCACTAGGACAGCTGAACACACCAGTTCCTTGTTCACAATACCCATAAGACCATTCATCGTTTCCATATACCTGCACAAAGTTCATAAGATATGCTATTCAATCACTCTTCCGTGGGAATCAATAGTAACATGGAAACCTAGGTCAAAGATCAATAAAGTAAACGTGCGCTATCATTGATTATGACAAGTATCCAGAGAGCCATCCCTGAGTTTATCTCACCCCCATTATCCCATAAAAAGTTTCCAAAATTACTAGAAGACCCGAGAATCGAGATCAGTGGAGACGAAAAGGGAACTTAAATTCAAGATCTTACAGATACCATTAAGTTCAAGATCTTACAGAGAACATAAACCATTAAATTAGAGTCTCACAGATGTAAACAAATATATCATTTCTTCAAATTCTCCATTTCCACATACATACACACTAACAATAACCAAAACATCATCCATACATGTGGAGCTGTACATAGATAGACTAAAGACGAAGAAGATCCAAGCAGTGGGGTAGTACCTGAATGGCGCTGTGGAATATACCGCCAAGACCGATCCCGTCTTTGAAGAACCTATTGATCTGAACAATGGTGTTGTTAGTCTTCTCCGATCCACTGTTTGTTACATCGTATATGTGAAGAACAACCTCCGCCATTGATCGATCTCTTTACCAAGAAACACGATACCTAATTCCTACGAAATTAAGCTCGCAGATTCTCTCTGTATAGCTTTTGGTGAAGAAGGAAACCTAAAGACTCGTACCAAATCCAGTTTTCTTCAACAAATCCAACTTCTAAACTACTAGATCTCTAAGAAATCACTGCACGAAACTTTTGTTTTCAGATTTTGATCTAAAGCTGAGATATTTTGAGTTTGTTTATCTTCTCCCAAATTTTCAATTTCAGACGTGGGAGATTGAAGAAACTGATGCTGCGGTGGTGGGGATCCCACGAAGTGACTCTTATGCCCTCGCTTTTTCGACCAAGCCGACGTCGTTTTATTCACTTAACCGACACTTTCTCTTTCAATTAACCGGTTCACTTTTCATTAAACCAGAAAATGATCATCAATTGGTTTAAATACATCATGAGATATTAATCCTAACCGTTAGATTATAAAATTTATCAAATAAAAAAAACTACTCGTACAAAACAGAACGAAGAAGACTTTCATTTTCTTCTTCTCTCCGGTTGTCACCACCACACAACGCCATGGAAGCTGCTCTTGCTGCATGCGCTCTTCCATCGCTCCGAATTCTCAAAACGAAACCAAGATTCAGATGTTCCTTCTCCAATCCAAGACTACCCATTTCTCCTAACTCCCTTATCATCCGCAAATCAAGTCGATTCACAACCGCAGTATCATCACCAACATCATCAACCGCTACGTCAACGAATTTTCCGCCGGAGTCTGAGACCCTATTCGAATCCGGGTCGGATAAGTTCGATTGGTACGCTAATTGGTATCCAGTGATGCCAATTTGCGATCTTGACAAGAAGGTTCCACATGGGAAGAAAGTTATGGGGATTGATTTGGTGGTTTGGTGGGATAGGAACGAGAAGCAATGGAAAGTGATGGATGACACGTGTCCTCATCGTCTTGCACCTTTGTCTGATGGAAGGATTGATCAATGGGGGAGGTTGCAATGTGTTTATCATGGATGGTGCTTTAATGGATCCGGTGACTGTAAACTCATTCCTCAAGCTCCTCCTGATGGACCTCCGGTAAGTTTTTGATGATGATTTGTTTGGATTAGATTGCTTTAGCAATGAGATGGTTTTATATGGGACATAAAAAAAGTCAAAGTCTTTGGTTGGATCAATGATTAAATTTGGTAATGCAAATCAGGTCCACACTTTCAAGCAAGCTTGTGTAGCTGTTTATCCAAGTACTGTGCAGCATGAGATCATTTGGTTTTGGCCAAACAGTGATCCAAAGTACAAAAACATTATTGAAACCAACAAGCCTCCTTACATTCCAGAGTTAGAAGACCCATCATTCACTAAGTTGATGGGGAATCGCGATATTCCTTACGGGTATCTTCTTCATTTCCCGGCTGCTATTGGCTTTTACATCATTTCAACTATGTGTGTGAATTCTCCATTCATGTTTTTGTGTAAATCTGAAATCTTTCAGGTATGATGTGTTGGTGGAAAACCTCATGGACCCGGCTCATGTTCCCTATGCACATTATGGACTAATGCGGTTTCCTAAACCAAAAGGCAAATAATTATTTACATTTTCAAACAGTCTATCTGATATGTTTTTGATCTTTTTACCAACCTTCAGACTCTCTCCTTGCAGAGAAGATTGACAGAGAAGGGGGGAAACCACTAGAAATTAACGTTAAGAAACTAGACAGCAAAGCGTTCTTTTCAAAACAAGAATGGGGTTTTTCTAATTTTATTGCACCATGTGTTTATCGGTCTTCCACAGACCCTCTACCAGAGCAGGAACACGAGTATCCCGCACCAGCTGCATCTGACAAGGTCATAAATTTTTAAGCAAAATTAACATGTACCAAGATTTTCTTGTTTAGCGTCGCATGTTTTAATTACCTAAGCATATGGTTCTGTATCCAGGCGGCATTGTCAAAGCGCAGATTGTCTTTGATCTTTATATGTATTCCGGTCAGCCCAGGTCGCAGTAGGCTGATATGGACGTTCCCGAGGAATTTTGGTGTATTTATTGATAAGATTGTTCCTAGATGGGTGTTTCACATTGGTCAAAACACGATTCTAGACTCAGATTTGCACCTCCTTCATGTAGAGGTAATTCCAAATCTATCTAATACACACATTGTTCTGAGTAGAGGCTGATCAATGTACCATTGTACTGGACTGATTTGTATCTTGTAACGGAATGTTTGTAGGAGCGGAAGATACTGGAGAGAGGCCCTAAAAACTGGCAAAAAGCTTGCTTTATCCCAACAAAATCAGACGCTAATGTGGTTACATTCAGGAGATGGTTTAACAAGTACAGCGAGGCTCAAGTCGATTGGAGAGGAAAGTTTGATCCATATCTTCTTCCTCCTACACCTCCCCGAGAACAGCTCTTCGACAGGTTGCTTTATCTCCCTTGTGAGTTTAAATGAAAACTAGTTCTAAACATCCTAACAATAAAAGTTGTGTGTTTCTTCTGCCTACATAATTGTTTCAGGTATTGGTCGCATGTTGAGAACTGCAGCAGCTGCAAGAAAGCTCACAAATATCTCAATGCGTTAGAGGTGATCTTACAAATCGCATCCGTTGCTATGATCGGAGTCATGGCCGTGATGAAGCAAACCACAATGTCGAATGTGGCTAGAATTGCAGTGCTTGTGGCGGCTGTTTTAAGTTTTGCAGCTTCAAAGTGGCTATCACACTTCATCTACAAGACATTTCATTACCATGACTACAATCATGCTCTTGTTTGAAATGAATATTGGTGTTCGTATATATACTCTTTGGATATATTCAGTCTACATGGTGTACATAACACTTATACAGAAACTAATTCTTGAATCTATACCGTTTACTAACATTCTAGATGATTCATTTACTGAAGAAATGGCCTCAGGAGCATTTTCTGAGTCTATTGTATTCACCCAAATAAATTTATCGGTTTAAATGATCTGCTCGGTAAGACATTTGCTTGACGCGGTCCACGAGTTTCTGGTTTCAACCCTCCCTAGTCCCTACACATATGTTTCATTCTCAACTCCTAAAATCTCAATTTTGGCGTCTATACTAAAGAAATTGGACAACCTGATACTCGCAGTTACATCACAAAAGATGGACAGTGAATATGTCACATTGTTTATTAATGAACATCTTAAGACTTAAGCGAAAGAGAGCTTGTCTTTTGCTGCTGTATGTATCTAGAAAAGTCAAGGCCTCGTGGAATTTTTGAGTGGCTCTCCTCGTGTGGACAGTGGGCAATTCTTTGAGTCTAATAGTATCATCAAGTGTATCCTCCTAAGATACAAAATCGAAATGGGCCGGGCCGTTACTGGTGAACTGACTGACTGGGCTCGGTTAACATGAAATCATGCACATATAGAAACGGTCAGTCAATGGAAAATGTCATCATCATCATCATCTGTTTGGGTTAATGACAAAGGTTTTAAATGAGAGAGCAGGGTCAATAAATACAAAACGATGAAGAGAAAGAAACAAGAAAGATGGACCACTGGAGTCTGGACTATGAAGTTTCCATAGAAACGCAATTACAAAAGATCTTCTCTGAGTTGTCTCCGACTCTTCCACCTATATTCATTTCATTTGCATACGTAACCTCCTAACTCACATCTTTTTGGCTTCTAGAAGCCTTGTAAGAAATCACTAAACGGAATCACCTATTTTTAGAAACGACAACTTTCCCTTCTGGCACCTAATTTCCATTTTTATCCGAGCTTATAGTTGGATTAAGCAATTTTCCTAACTTATAAATTCATTTCAATGGCTTCCAGCTATATTGGGAAGTTTGCTTTTCTTGACCACTTTATATACAATCAGTATCACTTGAGTCAAATGTAGAGTTTTGTTTGGCTTTCAGCTTTTGTTTTTGAGTATGAGAAAGTTTGCATCTTATCTTTCCGGACTATCTTTTTCAATATAGAGTAGTAATAATTAAGGGCTAGATGTCAAAAGGAGGGTTAATTAGCCAATTGCATAAAAATTCTCAGTTGTGAGTTAATAACCAAGTGACAAAACTAAGTAGCTTCACCAAAATGCCATTGCTTTCGCGTAAAATTATGTTATTTTATAAAATAACACATTTTTGGATAAAATCTCATTATAAAAGAAGTACCATATGCTACTTTTATTGCACATGTAATTTAATACCGTGAAAACATATAAGTTTTTTTTTTTTTGGGGTCATAAATGTAAGTTATATAATATCACTCACTAGAAAAGTATTGGATCCCATAAAGTAATAACTATTTTCATGTGATTTTGTCTCTACCAAACTTTTTTTATTTTTTTGGGGTAAAATCTCTACCAAACTTTCAAAACCATACCAAAGTAAATACTTGTATCTTTTGACGGAAAAAGAAAAGCATCTAAGAGAGACACGACGCCATCATATCTGGAAGAGTTTCTCTGTGGATATGCTTCGAACAGTCTTACGGATTTTTGACATATCGACGTGGTTTCTCATGAACCACTGGTTAGCCTCATCTACCTAATCTACTCCCCAGACAAAACGAAAATATAACAAAAATTACTACAACCAAAAAGACATAAGTAATAAATGTGATATTTCATTATATATTCACAGAATAAAAAGTAAGCGGTGCGTTACGTTACTAATTAAATCTACAATTTTATGAGACATAAACAAAACCCAATACATTTTTTTTTTGGTCGGAACAAAACCCAATACATTAGATTTCATTTATTTTTCTTCTAAAAATGAGATATTTGTCCAGAAATTGAGTCATACTTGTGATCTGTTGCATGGATTGGTGGACAGTCATCGTCTATAATATTTATTGATTTTTTGAATTGATAATTATTAATTTATTATCATCCACGAGGCTGTTTTTTTTATTTAAAGAAAAAGAGAGAGAGAAATGCATGATTCATGATTCAACGGTTTGTTATAAATAAACCAACCCTTAAGTCCGCAACAAACCTTGACTCAGAGCCAGAGAGAAGAGATAAGTGAGAGAAGAGATAAGCGAGTGGCGTTTTGGTTAATCATTTTGAGGAGATGGATCCGACGACGCCGTTGCTTACGCACGGTGGCGAAGTAGAAGAGGATTATGCTCCGGCCAGGAGCTGGATCGATATTAAGCGAGTTTTGTCAACAGAGTCGGCTAAGATGTGGATGATAGCTGCTCCGGTGGGGTTCAACATCATCTGCCAGTACGGTGTTAGCTCAGTCACTAATATCTTTGTCGGTCACATCGGCGAAGTCGAGCTCTCTGCCGTCTCTATCTCTCTCTCTGTCATCGGCACCTTCTCCTTCGGTTTCTTGGTACTCTCTTTCACTCTCTAGCTTCATGTTTGTTGTAACGAGAAATTTACTGTGAAAATGAATCAAGAACATATAGATTCGAATAAACTTTTTCAGAGGAATTAGGTTCTGTTTTGGTTTGAAACTTGCAGCTTGGAATGGGAAGTGCACTTGAAACACTATGTGGCCAAGCATATGGAGCTGGTCAAGTCAATATGTTAGGTGTTTATATGCAGAGATCTTGGATTATCTTATTCGTTTCTTGCTTCTTCCTCCTTCCTATTTACATCTTTGCCACGCCGGTTCTGAGACTACTCGGTCAAGCCGAGGAGATCGCGGTTCCAGCTGGACAGTTCACTCTTCTAACCATCCCACAACTCTTCTCACTGGCTTTCAATTTCCCAACCTCTAAGTTCCTTCAAGCACAGAGCAAAGTGGTTGCTATTGCTTGGATTGGATTTGTGGCTCTTGTCCTTCACGTTATTATGCTCTGGCTGTTTATAATCGTGTTTGGTTGGGGAACAAATGGTGCTGCTTTGGCGTTTAATATTACAAACTGGGGAACAGCAATCGCTCAAATTGTTTATGTGATTGGTTGGTGTAATGAAGGCTGGACTGGTTTATCTTGGTTGGCTTTTAAAGAGATTTGGGCTTTCGTTAGACTCTCCATTGCATCTGCTGTTATGCTTTGTCTTGAAATCTGGTATATGATGAGTATCATCGTCCTTACTGGCCGCCTTGACAATGCTGTTATCGCTGTTGATTCCCTTTCTATATGGTTAGTTATCAGCAACATTTTACCTCCAAAAAATCTTGGAATGCTTGTATCTGACTCTTTAACGTTTTACTCGTTGGATTTTACATTTCAGCATGAATATCAACGGCTTGGAGGCCATGTTGTTCATCGGAATAAATGCTGCTATAAGGTATCATAACAATCTGACTTGTTTTCTGTTATCTATTCAACTTATAAACTCATGTGTCTACTTGTGTACTATTAGTGTCCGTGTATCCAATGAGCTTGGCCTAGGCCGTCCAAGAGCAGCTAAATACTCTGTCTATGTCACGGTCTTCCAGTCTCTCCTCATTGGTCTTGTCTTTATGGTGGCTATCATCATAGCCAGAGACCATTTTGCCATCATCTTCACGAGCAGCAAAGTACTTCAACGCGCAGTGTCTAAACTAGCTTATCTTCTCGGTATAACCATGGTTCTAAACAGCGTGCAGCCGGTTGTTTCGGGTACAAAAATCTAAACATCATGTCCATCAAAACCAAAATGGAGGTCTCATCAGATTATAACCGTCCCGGTTTGTTCATCTTATTAGGTGTGGCTGTTGGAGGCGGTTGGCAAGGCTTAGTGGCTTATATAAACTTGGGTTGTTACTACATTTTCGGCCTTCCCTTTGGATATCTTCTTGGTTACAAAGCAAACTTTGGAGTGATGGTAAGAGAATGGCATGTGCTTTATATATCTATTGAAATGAGTTAAGTCGCTTAATGGTAAAGCGCGCTAAAGCTTATATATAATGTTTTCAGGGACTTTGGTCTGGAATGATAGCCGGGACAGCGCTTCAAACGTTGTTACTGTTGATTGTTCTGTATAAGACAAACTGGAATAAAGAGGTAAGAACCAGAGAAATACAAAACCATACCATATACACTTGTTCATTGATTAAGATCGAGTTTTCGTCCTTGAATTGAATCGATCTCAACTGTGATGAACAGGTGGAGGAGACGTTGGAACGAATGAAGAAATGGGGAGGGAGTGAGACGACATCAAAGGATATAATTGCGTGATTGATGTTCTTTTTTGTTAAGCTTAGCGGCTTTTTGTTTGTCTTTCATTTGTTTGGCACCAAATTGTTCTATTTAGGCTGTAGGAAACTGTTCAACCAGTTATGTTTTGTTACATTTACTTCCAAAAGAAACAAAATGCATAACAAATGTTAGGTATACCGTATACATTTGCTCGTGTAACCCAAATGTATCATAATAAATTCTAGCGACTTGTACTAATTTATGATTCATATCAAATGCTTGACAAGCCAATCCTAGATTTTTCATCCTTTTGAGTATATATATCGTTAATGATTCATATGACAGATGGTCAGGATGGCCGAGTGGTCTAAGGCGCCAGACTCAAGTTCTGGTCTTCGTAAGAGGGCGTGGGTTCAAACCCCACTTCTGACATTTATTTTCTTTACAGTTTCTGTATTTGCCTTTGTTTCTACCTTTTACGTTCTTAAAAATTTCATTTCAGGCTTGTGTCCTAAAAATAGAGCGTGTCTTCTAATTTCTTTTGTTTTTGGTGAACTTTTATCCTGGCGGCGTTTTACATTTGAATTTTACTTTTGCGTCTTAGACATTTGTATTTGTAAACCTTGTGTTGTATTTAAATTTGTTTGAATTGACGTGTTTGCGCTTTTGTTAATTTGTGAGCATAATAGTGTTTGCTTTTTAATCATAAACTTATCATAGAATATTTGTAAGCTTATTTTTGATTCATGCATTTCTTTTTCAGGGCTACAAGAATGACAGTGATAATATGTCAATTGATGACATAAATTTGTCTTTTGAAGAGCAGATGAAGATTTCTCTATAAACATTTAGGGTTAAGACAACGATTATAAGTCATGATTCCATTGTTTTAAAACCTAAAAGTTCCTAATTTTGGGTTTAAACTTTTAATGTATGTAAATAAGAGAGGTGGTTACTTATTTACGTGAGTGTGTAGTGTAGTCAAGATTGATTATAAAAACATCGCTACTTCCTTCCTTAGGCAGCTGCCAAAGACGGTACAAAAACGTATTGGGCCTTAAATAAACATAAGCCCATATCTTCGTTTTCCTTTCTTTTTTTGGTTTAAAACTTTACCAAATTATTGAAGACCCTAACAGTACACTTTGTCTACAAATATAATTTTAAATATATTGTTCGATACGAAGATGAAAAGTTTCAAATATTGTAATCAACTAAAATAGTTATTTACAAAATTGTGAATTTCAATTAGGGCGTAATGTATAGTAGTAATTTGTATAATATATTGTTTTCCTTTGCAGAAGTTAAAACGAATTTTCTTATTAGGTGGATGGATTATTATAATGTCAAATGTAATTGACAAGTTCTTGCTATCCACAACATTCCCACAAAAGATGAGTTTAAGATCATAAACCCTTCTTAAACACACGAAGAAGAAATCAATCTACTTGTCGACCAAAATTCTATTAAATTTTTTCCCATAAATCAAAACCTTGTCGAAAAAGTTAGCCAAGTGAACAAAACCAGGGTTCAAAATGATTACAAAAACTCAGAATTTAAGATAAACCCTAAAACCCTACAGATTCTAAAGAGACCGAGACACAGCAAAATCTGAGGAACTGGGAAAGACGGGAAGTAAATAAAAACTTCTAAGCAGCGGTAGCAGCCTTGGCCTTCTTAGGCATACGGTAGCCACCAACGACACAGGCATGATCACGCTCGAATGGCTCAAGTGTCACTTGCTCAGCTGGCTTGAATTGCTCCTGTTGAAGCTTCTTCACTTCAGTCTGGAACACAGCTTCTGCTGGAACCGTTGAGTCGATACAGTTAGCCTGCAAAACAATAAAACATACGTATTAACTAATCTTTCTCAGTAGAGAGATCATGGATTTAATATATGTTTCGATTGCTACCCACCTTGATTGAGATCACAAAGTGTCCTCCTGATTTGAGGAAGTATGATGCATTCAAACCCAAGATCCTAGCCTGCACGGTTTCAAAGGCACAGAAAATTTCATAAACACACAGTATACAGTATACTAGAAGCAACCCACGAGCTAAATGACATTAGAAAACTTGGAACAAGTAGGTCATACATCTGAAAAAACCAAAACCAAGAAAAGACAGATTTAAATTTAAGATATAGTATTTGATTAGAAAACAAAATTGTAGAAACAAATCCATAGTAGATAAGTTTTTTAATTTGGTTGCTAACTCATACACCAAAAAAAACAGAAATCCGAACATAAACCGAAACAAGAAATTCTTAATGCATCAGAAACTTGGAGTTTGCATCACCCATAATGATCTGAAGGGGAATCCAAGTAAGATCATCATATGCAATTATCAAAATACCGTTTTAAAGCAGAGGACAGATATAATGGTATTGAGTAAAGCTTTATGAGGCAAATCTTAAGACATCCATTGTGAGATATACAAAAGAGGCAAACCTGATCAGGCTGGGCAACATCAGAGAAGATAACATCAACCATGCCTACAAGCATTCTGTATTTAGCAGGGTGTCTAGCATCCTCGATGATTGGAATAACATTGGTTCTCTTCTTTGCCATGTTCACCAAATCTCTACCACTTCTATGAGAAAACTCAACTGCGTACACACATCCCTCCTACCAGATCACAAAGGCAATATATAAGAAACTCCAATACAGATCTAAGAACTGATAACCACAACATAAAGGACACGTTTTACTTACAGGGCCAACAAGATCAGACACATGAGAGACTGTGGTTCCAGAAGCAGCACCAAGGTATAGAACTTTAGCACCAGGTTTCTACATTGAACCGGAAACAACAATCTATGAAACAAGACAAGTCTCGCAAACAACAACAACAATAAGATTCACACAAGATGGTGCTTACAATCCAGATGTTATCAACACCACCGAGAATAGCAGCTGCCAACTTGGAACGGAAAGGATTCCAAACTCTGTATTCAACCTTAGTTCCATCTTCGTTCTGCAGATTCAATCACAGAACCATTAAGAACAAATCCATCAAAAGGAGGGCAAAATACAAACAATCAATCAATCAATCCTCTATATTACCTGAACAGAGATTCTCTTCTCATTGTAGACAGCTTCACCAGGAACCAAGTTCTTAGTAACAAGAGCATCTTCTTTACCCTTTGCAATGAACACTCCTGCGTGTCTGTGAGGTTCCACAATCACTTTGCTTCCTCCTTTCATGCCTCCACGTCCTGGTGGTCCTCTGCCGCGAGGACCACCACGGCCTGGTGGTCCTCTTCCTCTGCCGCGACCACGGTCGCTGAAACCTCTTCCTCCTCTACCACCGCCACCACGACCACCACTGAAACCACCGTCACCTCTACCACCACTGTATCCACCACGGCCTCTTCCACCACTGAACCCACCGCTTCCTGAACACAAAAGACCATTCATTAAAAACTCCATGTTTAACATAAAACCCTACCATAAACTCTAAATCCGATAGAACTAACGAAGACCCAATACAGTTCTAAGCAAAAAGGAACACACTTGACAATCAGTTCAGCTATACACATAAAGTTCTAAGACTAAACGAGCTAAGAATGTCACTTGCCATTGTTAATCTGAAACACAAGCAATGGAAAAAAGAGAAGAGGCGGCTAGGGTTCTTACCAGTTAGAGGAGGTCTCATCTTTGCGTTAAGACTCTAAAGAATGCGATAATCAAGGAGAAGAGCTTTTAATGAGAGAGAGAATGGCGATGGCGATGAAGCTGCGCTCGCAAGTGTTTTTATACGAGTGTTTCAAGCTAGGGTTTTAACAGGGTTTTAATTAAAGTCGCCTTATTTATTATTATTTACGTATTAGTCCTTATATTATGTATCCAGATCTTTTTCTGGTATCAACTATTTCGATTTAGAATTTGCCCCTCGTAGTTAAAACTTGTGTGGAATTCTATCATCACACACCAAAAACAGACTATCATCCACTAACGTAAGTTACAACAACAACAACAAAATTGTGTGCAGAGATAATAATCGTTACCATTGTAAAGTGTAATCTACACAAACTTAATCGTTACCATCACTTATCCTCTTTTTTTTCTGCAAAGAACATTTAAATTGAATGTATACGATCAAAATACATGAGTTCTGCCAACCAAATTGGTGGATTTACACATTCGAAATAAAAAGTTCCTATTTAAACAACCTTTTTTAGCTAGAAATGAGCTACTTTATTACATATCCGGTTTATATGAACAAAAGAAACATCCCTGAACTTTGCTTTCCAAAAGAGTATATTCCGATGCAGTCCATCAATTGCAATATCATTGGAGACTCCATCATTTATCATCTACACAACAATATAAGAAAACAAATGACCAAAACCAGAAAATTCTAATTCCAGAGCCTCTCTTACAATGAATTTGGGCTGCTAAATATGTGGGCTTTAGTCTCATTGTTATCTGGGCCAAGTAATTTTCATGAATAATTTATGGTAAAAGCCCACATATATAACAAGTTCACATAAATAATTTTCTTTTATAACAGTTTATACGAGGTCCACTATAACATACAAAACTCGCTAATGGTAAGAACTTATTTATAAATTTATGATTCTAAAGCCATAAAAAAAACAAAAAGAGCAATGTTCAAACTTTATTATACTCAAACCTATCTTTACTTTAGTCTAACGAAGCAAGAGACTCAAAACACTTATAACTCTAGAGTAACATGATATCACAATCAATGAATGAGTTAGTGAATATGTAGATGGATAAATTAGAATGAAAGAAATAAATGGGAGAAGATTGAGAGGGAAGTGTGCATGTGGGATGTTGGAGGAAATAGGGCCCATTACCCATCTTTTTCCTTTTTGAGTCTCTCCCTACCAATCATTATAACTTTTCTCAACTTATAAATTCTGAACTATTTATTTCTATTTGTCAAATTAATGGTTATGCTTTAATACATTTATATCCCAATTGGCATATACATGTAGTAGAGTATCTAGCTAGGTCATAGGGTTGAAATGTTTTTGTTTATATGAATGAAGATTCCCATTTGATTATTCCACTTATTTGGCACTTTTTATCATGTTCAATGTCTACTAGATAAGCATGTGGCTACTAGTGGATGACCACCTTTAGAGGTAAAATTTTGTTAGTAATATACCATTTATAGTTATGTTTTTAATACTATGTATCTATGGACATATCCATTTTGTATCTATATACACGTTGCCAGACTTATATAGTTCAACTATATTCTATATAATAATTTCGATCTGTCGATGTGTGGATAAGTGAAGCCTTGTTTAGTTGACTTGTTGATTAGTACTGAATTAGATATACCATATAAGTTTTATATATGATTTCATTATAATGCATAGTTGATTAAACTTACTATATACAATATACTATCAATAATTAATTTCCAATTTTAGGCTTACGATAGATCCATATATAAAAATAATATAAAATATGTAGGTGAAATTTTCGAGCATAGTTAGAAGAATTTACAATTCCAGTTTAAGTCATATATTGTATGATGACTAGATCTATTAAAAAAAATCAAAAGGAGAAAATGTATAAATTGAAGGTTAATTTACGTAAGTGTGTGCTGCTAATCCACATAATTGTAAAAGGCAATCTTAAAGTAATTTTCAAAGTCAAAGTAAAAGTAAAAGAGTAGATAATTATAGTTCGTCAAGTAAAGAGAAATCCTCCTAGTTTAGTAGTCACATGTTTTTTTTTGTTAATTATGGCTGATGCTTTATTTGTCATATTTACGATCGAGACAATAGAGTAGAGACGCCGATCTATGTCCACCAAAACAAATCGATACATAAAGAGCTAACACACCTTGTGCATAAGGCTAACACACTTTGGCAATGACAATATGTGATGGACGCATCATCACACACATCTTCCGAAAAGAGAATACTTGCAACATTATTACGTCTACCTAATTTGTGTACAGTGGCGGACCTACGTTTATCGCAGGGGGTGCAATTGACACAGGTTAAATTTTAAAACTTTCTTTAGCTATTATAGAAAATGAATATTTAGCATATGTGTTTGTGTTTGACCCATTTAATAATGAGGTTTGTAACAATGACACCTATTCCATGATGTTTTTAATTTAAACCTTATTTCATTTTTAAGTAATTTTAGTTTACAGTTTCCTTTTTTCATACAAAAAACTTTTTAATACGTTTCTTTTTGATTGAAGTATCAATCGATTTTGACATTTTGTATTATTATTTGTTATCTTTACCTGTTGTAGAGTTTAAACAGATTAACATTCATAAAATATAAAAACTATTATATTTGTGTAGAGAATTGAAATTTTTGTAAAGTTTGCACCAAATAATTTCATTAAACCTATATACATATGCAAAAGTGTGATATAGTAATTAAATAAATAGTTTAACTTATAGATGTGATTTTAAGTATTTGCATATTTTTATTATGCAATATTAAGCATGTTCTGAATTCTTTTTTATAAAGATTGTTAAATTATTTCACAATGTGTCATCAAAAATAAATAAAAAGTTAACATAGTGTATATATATATATATAAAATAATTTTTTAATTAATTAAATTATTTGACCCATGTAAAAAAAATTTCTAGGTCCGCCACTGTTTGTGTACATGCTTTGATGGGATGTAATAGAAAAACTAGATGTACTTCACCAACACTACACATGTGTTCTACTAAAAAACAAGTATAACACCATATTGTTTGAAACCCGGTATCCGAAACATGTTAAGGTTATTTTCTTATAAATAATACTCTAAGAAGTTTTCTAAAGGATTCATAATCCAACATGAGCATTATAGAGAGAGAATTACATATTCACAATAACAACACTTGACATGCATCAACTAATTTAAGAGCAAGTACTTGCTATAGAATTTATTTGTGCACGAAAAAAAATGGTTAGATGGTCATTGGAAGACATCCATGATGCTCCGAGTGGGTTCTACTATCGATATGCTCATCTATTCAAAAGACTTATATATTGCCATAAGCCCATAATTGATGATGAAATCCAAAAAATTAAAATGTATACTAACATCGCAAATCAAATTGGATATTCACATAGAAAAATTACAATATATTACGTATTCCATAGTATTTAAGCATTAGATTTTTTTTTCAAAGCATTAGAATAAAAACATTCAAAACGTGTTTGATCGGTTATTCTTTACTTCAAAAACAATCAATTTATCATTTATGTTACTGAATACTGATATATATAGTAGTGTCTAAATGAATATCCTACTACGATCAAGAGACGAAGAAAAGGTAAAGGGTCGCATTCGTACCCACGGCACGCACGAGGGCTACACGTAAAAGTCATTACGCAACTCAACAAAAGCAAAAGAAGAAGAAAATGCAATGCACACGTGCGCTCTCTTTTAGCCTATAATCATCCCTTCTCTTCCCTTTCTTTGGCTTATAAAAATAAGTTGACTAAACTACCCTCGCAAATCTTTTTTTGTCGCTTTGGTTTAGTTTAATCATTCACAAATCACAAACCCTACAAAATCATTATCGATACATCATATCGAAGATCCGCCATTACCAAAGTATGGCGGCTAAGAGCAGTGAAATCTCCTCCTGATTCTAGTTTCATGTGTATAACATTAAATAATAAGAAAAAGTCAACTACTTGTTAGGTTAACTAATACTGTATTGTGTTATAACCATTTTTGATAGAGTTAAAAAAAAAAACCATATTTGATAAGGCCGTTTACAACCGTTCGATTTGATTCTGAAGAATATCTTTAACGTTTTTCAGTTGACTATCCACTTCCACCGTACGTCTAATTGATCGATAATTTTTAGACCTCTTTTTACGTCGATACTATAGCTAATTGGTAATTTTAAGGATGTTTTGAATTAAAACTAATCTATTTCAAAATTACCCATCAATTATTTTAAAGTCTTCACAGCAAATGTCTATTATTTTCCAAAGAAACGTAGGTATAGTGTCCATCTCCTGGGTGGACGAAGAGTCATCTTATTATAGCCATTTATTAAAATATGTATGGGAAACAACTGAATTTAGATTTTCAAATATATCACATGGAAGTGATTCGATTTTTTCTAGCTAGCTAACATATATGTTATCATTCAAGGCAGTTGTAAGTGTGGTGATTTATAAATTTGATTAATCTAAAAGAATTATATAGTTTCTATCAAGTTCATTGAGAATTCTCATAACATGGAAAAGAAGCTCAAAATTGACGCTACAATCCAAACTTGCTAAAGAATTGATAGAGAGAGAGTCTCATCATACCTCCTTATACGAGACTATAAACTTGACTATATAAAGAATATTCACTTCTCTGGATAGTTGTTAAAGTCTCTCTAGTGATTATATTGGAAGGGACGTACTTGAGTGTAGAAGATAGACGTGCTCATTCACATGTGTACACCATGCAAAATAAAAACATTGCCGTTATATACATAAAAAAATCCTTTAAATTAAAGTAATCATTCCAAACCCGACCTTAGCAATAACTATGTGTGTATGTCACATATGAAAGCTAATAAATAAGTTAGAGAAAAAAACTAATGTAAGTCACGAGGATCTCGCTCGCCACCCAACGGAATGAAATCAGCGGCGCATTTATCTTAAAAGACTCGCAAACTCACGAGTTTCGCGACGCCAGCCATTACTGCGTGGCATTCCCTGTAATTACCATCGCCAAAACAAGGGTAATCTTGGCATCAACATTTTTTTTTTTTCTTGAACTCAATCAGTTTTGCCTTTTTTTATAAAAATTCGAAGTAAGCCATTTGTCTGCATTGGGGACTCATCATCACTTATATGCGTTACTCTCCCTTTTTTTAAGTGTTTTGTTTTTCTTTCTTTTGTTCCTTTCCAATTATTTTTAGCAATAATCATAATGAATTTTAATATTTAAATACAATAATTTGCGAATAATAATATATTCATGGAAGCGCGTGGGTCCGAACCGTCAATTTATGATGACGTGGCAAAATCTCGTGGGAAATTGAATGAAAACTGTAAAAGATAACGACCGGTGAGAGAGAGAAGCGGCTCATCCATAATAAAAAGCCTTTTGCTCCTTATTCATATTTATTCTCTCATTCTTCAATAATTCTTTTTCACATTTTTCTTCTCGTGTTTTGATTTTACCGGGAAAAATCTTTACCTCGTTATTGCTGTGAGATCAAGAAGTGGAGAAACAAAAGTTGAAAATCTGGATGTTATTTGATTGTTGTCGTTGGTCTTGAGATATGAGGAGCGTTAATAATAGTGTTGACACGGTGAACGCCGCCGCTTCCGCCATCGTCTCCGCCGAGTCTAGAACACAACCGTCGTCGGTTCATGTACTTCTTCTATGAGCTTTTTTTTTTCTGAGTGTGGTTTTTTTTTAAAGATCAGTGTTGTTACTTGATTTGCCGACGTTTCTGACGCTGGATCGTGATTGTAGTTTTTGTAAAAGTGAGAATTTCGGGGTTTTGATGTTTGATCTGTTTTGTAAGTGTTTACGTAACGAAATTATTTAAAGTTTATATAGATTTTTGCGTTACTTATTAATTATGCTTTGATTTACTTGTTACTGTTTTATTAACCAGGATTAAAGAGAATTGAAGAGTGTTTGACGAAAGAGAAATATAAAAAGATTCGAGATTTGATCCGATTTTCGTTCTCATTTTTGTGCTTTCTTGTGTTTTTCTTATTTTAAAATGTCTATTATTGATAAGCAGCACTAGATTCGATGAGCTAAAAAACTTGGTAAAAATTTCAGCTTTACCGGTATCTTTTTGCTTTCTCCACCAGAGTAGGTGTAATTTCTTGATAAAGCTATAAGCCTTTGAATCTTTAGCTGATCAAGAATCTTGGTTTTTTATGTCTTTGAAATTCAGAAGAAAAAATGGGGAAGCTGGTGGAGCTTGTACTTGTGTTTTGGATCCAAGAAGAACAATAAGCGGATTGGCCACGCAGTGCTTGTACCCGAACCAGCTACATCCGGAGCTGCGGTGGCTCCAGTCCAAAACTCTTCTAGCAATTCAACTTCAATGTTCATGCCCTTTATAGCTCCTCCTTCATCTCCTGCTTCGTTTCTGCCATCAGGTCCTCCATCTGTGTCACATACTCCTGATCCTGGTCTACTTTGTTCCTTAACCGTCAATGAACCGCCTTCAGCCTTTACTATTGGACCTTACGCTCATGAAACTCAACCTGTTACTCCTCCAGTGTTCTCTGCTTTCACAACAGAACCATCCACCGCGCCATTCACGCCACCTCCTGAATCACCTTCTTCCCCTGAAGTGCCTTTTGCTCAGTTACTTACATCTTCACTGGAAAAGGCTAGGAGGAACAGTGGCGGCGGAATGAATCAGAAGTTTTCAGCTGCACACTACGAGTTTAAGTCTCATCAAGTGTATCCTGGAAGTCCAGGTGGTAATCTAATCTCCCCTGGTTCAGGTACATCTTCTCCTTACCCAGGGAAATGCTCCATCATTGAGTTTCGTATTGGTGAACCTCCAAAGTTTTTGGGTTTTGAGCACTTCACAGCGCGTAAATGGGGATCAAGATTCGGTTCTGGATCCATCACACCTGCTGGACAAGGTTCAAGGTTGGGTTCAGGTGCTTTGACTCCTGATGGTGGTGGAGGACTTGGCTCAAAGCTTGCTTCTGGTGCTCTCACACCACTTGAAGGCAGCCTATTGGATGGTCAGATCACTGAGGTTGCGTCTTTAGCCAATTCGGACCACGGGTCGTCAAGGCATAATGATGAAGCTGCCGTGGTTCCTCACAGAGTTTCTTTCGAGTTGACAGGTGAAGACGTTGCACGTTGTCTTGCAAGCAAGCTAAACCGTTCCGGTTCACATGAAAAAGCGAGCGGCGAACACTTAAGACCAAACGGTTGCAAAACGTCGGGAGAAACAGAGAGCGAACAAAGTCAGAAGCTAAGATCATTTTCTACAGGTTCTAGCAAAGAATTCAAGTTTGATAACACGAATGAAGAGACGATAGAGAAAGTTAGATCGGAGTGGTGGGCGAATGAGAAGGTCGCCGGAAAAGGTGATCACAGTCCAAGAAACAGTTGGACTTTCTTTCCGGTCTTACGCTCTGGATTCACTTGACAAATTTACCAAGAGAAAAAAGCCTTTTATCTTCTTCATTACCTCTAACATGGGAAGCAAATTCAGTGATATGGTAAGATATTGGGGTCTAACAACTATACATATATAGCTTTGCATTGTAGGTGTCTTTGTTCTTTGTACTGATAGCTATATAAAATAGTTTTAACACTTAATGGTAGACTTATCATTGACAAAAAAAAAAAAACTGTATTGGTTGTGTATAAGCATAAAAATCTCTCTTTGTTATGATTATGTACATTTTTGAGTTAGCTAAGCCACCGTTCAGATTTGTATCTGAGAGGAGAGCTCTAAAGGCAGTGTGTTGAGAATTAACTTTATTACACAAAAAATCAAAGAACCCCATTTCAAAAGTTTCAAATTTTAAACCCTCAATATGGCAAAAAAAGGTCAACAAAATAACAAAACAATCTCTTTCTACCAAGAATATGAAGTAAAAAAAAGAAAGAATGAAGACTCTTAAATGGGAAAAATCTCTCTAGAAGCAAAAGAAAAGATCTGTCTCGCTCGCTAACACTGCACTTTTGGTATACCTAAAAAGAATGATACTCTGGTCCAGAATCAGGCTTGTCGTTTTTTTTTTGTTTTTAAGGAATCCTCTGTTTTGGAACATACTTTACCTTGGTGCCCTTTTCGGTTTTCGTCCTCAGCTTTGGTCTTGCGGTTATAACACCATTTGAGGATTCGTGAGAGTTGTTGCCCGAGATGTCGGTTTCCTGAGACAGAACCAATGTAACGTGTTCTGCAGAGGTTGCCTCTTTCCATCCTGACAAGCCATTTATTCAGATTGAGTAAACAACTTCCAAAAATATTGAAATTAAATGATAGGGAGATTACGATGAAAAGAAAGGTTAAAAGAAGTTTTACTCTTTGCAAGAAACGCCTTTGCTTCGTGGTTGTTAAACTGCAAGCTTATGTGATGAGCAGTCTTTACTTCGGGTTGAGTTGAGTTTGACTTCTTATCTTCTTTGTCTGTGTTTTCATCGACTGTTGAGATTTTTCTTCCCTGACTGCTCACTGGTCTCCATATTTTTACAGTTGATTGCTCAGATGTGGGTTTCGCCTCAACAGTCTTTGTTCTTCCCTCCCCTTCACTGCATTTGGTTTGGTTATGTTCTCCACTGTTTCGGATTGTTACACTCACTGATCCAATTCTAAATTCGCTGATGTTTGTCTGATCCTGCTGAGTCACTGCTGCATGTTGTGATATCAATTTGGGGTTATCGGATTTTCGGCTCCAAACTTTAGTAGCATTGACTCTTGCGTCTCTGTTGGTTCCATTCTTTCGCATGCCTCCAAGTTTTGGTGCATGATTAGCATGGAACCCATTCGGCATTCCCTGTTGTGATCTGTGCATTTGCCTACGGCCACTTCGCCTTTCCATGTTTTGGCCATTGCCTAAGCCATCATCATCAACCATTGTCGCTTGAGTTTCACAGTTTCTCCCATTATTCGTTTCCAAAACTTGAGGGTCCTCGAGGGATGAAGAATCATCAATTGGTATGGAATCTGGTCTCTGTGCCTCAGAATCAGAAGCTACAGATAAAGGACTTGATGACTCAGCTGGATATTCTTGTTCCTCTGATGTGGTGCTCTCGTCTTCCTTAGCATCTTTTTTCTGGTCCTTCTCTCTCTGCTCTTTCTGCCTTAGCTTCTTCCTCTTCTTCCTCTCCAAGAGCTCAGCTCGTCTGCTCCGAACATAATACCAGTGAATTAGACTCAACACTTAGTGGATTTAGTAACGTTATATGACTGGCATTGCAATTAATAAGCAAATACCTTCTTTGAGCAGCTTCTTCCTCTTCAACCAGTAACTTTTGGCACCTCAGAGCTTCCGCATCTTTGTCAGCCAGCCATGCTTTAATCTTCACATTAAGAATACAAAGATAAACCACATGTAATGGATACATGCAAAGCAAAGTCCTCGTATTAGACACTATGTTTTGCCAACTAGAGAGGGTGAAACCTTGAAGGAAAAACTTTACCAGTTGCTGTTCCAGAAGGAAGCTTGCGCAAGCAACAACATTTTTTGCCTCCAGTACAGTTTTTTCCTGTTTCCCCGTCAAAAATGTACTTTTGCATTGGTGCAGCCTCGCTACACAGGAAAGTTTTTTCACTTGCATCATCAAGAATGCTAAAAAGTTCCTGCGAAGAAATTGGAAACCTAGGTGGTCTAGCCTGGAGAATATCCTGGAGAAAGAGGAACATATATCAGCAACGAGGTTGAACATTGAGGATAGTTTATCTAGAAAGGTAAAGAAGAAACCGTCAAGAGAGAGATGAAATTCATACCAAAAGGCCAGAACCAGCTCTTAGATAATATTGTGGCAGAGCAGTATATCCTGGTTTTTCAATAAGTGACATTAATCCTGACTCAACTGATGCCCCAGGAACATCCTACAAGAATCCAAACAAAGCATCTCGAGTTAGAAATGTCTACAAAGAATTTTAATTAGGCCCACAGGTCCATGATGCAGAACGCGAGAGAAAAGACGTCAAGAAAGGTACAGCATGGATTAGGTATGCATACTCATCAAGCCTGTGAGGGTATGTATACGAATCAGGTATGGTATACTCTTGCTTTTTTAACTAAAAAGTATATATTTGGAAACGAATCCCATAACCCTGATGAAGTCATATGGCATTCTAGGAAACATTTAAGACAATGTTTATTATGGTATCACACCTTTCACTAATGAAGAAAAAGGCGATAAAGCATTCATAAAGAGTCAAAACCCCTAGACAAGATGTGAGAAACAACAATGAAATTAGAATTGGGAAGCCTGAAGAACATGTTATGCCACACTCGTATGTGAGGCTCACCATGCATTTTAAATGGGTGAAGATACGGAAAAGGTAAAAATGAAAGCATCAATGGGAATCATACTACCTCAAGCATCATGCTCTTTAATGAGAGAATCTCCTTTGCATCAGTTGCAGAGAGCTGAAATAACCACAGAGATCAGTACCTGATGGAAAAACTAATCGAATTGGCAACAACTATGAGAAGACGACTAGAGGGAAACCTACCTTATTCCAAAAGGCTCCCAGCGCATCCCTCTCTTTGCCAGAATCCTGGAACAATGTAAACACAAACTTCAGATGACTTGGAAGAAAAAGACTAAAGCAACCAGTAAAGACATGAAAGCAAGATAGTATAGTTAAGCTCAGACTAAGCGAACCTTTTCAGGCTTTCTTTGACGCCGATGCATGCGGTTATGTCTTCTATAGTTCACAGGAGAGCAAAACTCCCTACTGCACTTTTCACACTTCTGCATTTGTATCTTCAAAGGGGTCAGCAATGGCCAGCCTGGGAACGAAATAGAACATCAAATAAAGTCCAGGTACCATACCCTAGGCCACATGCTAATCAAGCATCACTAAGATCTAAAAAAAATTAATAACCTAATAAGATAAAACCCCTCAAGACTAAAACTATATATCCACATAGCACCCAGTCCACCAAATTCCAATGCTAAAAGAAGTATTTGGTCAGTGACAATGTTAAATCCAATCAAATGAGAAACAACGAGACATTACCTGGACGTTCTAAGGTATGGAGAAGTTGAAAAAGCTGGACTGGACTATTTTCAGGTCTAGGGAATGAAAGAAACGGATCCTTTCCAACGGCACGTCGAATAAGCATATCAAGAGAATCATTCCCATCTTGTTTCACAAGCTCCATTGAATTTGACTGCAACATACATTCACAAACACACAATTTCCTATAAACACAGCACCTATATAATAAATCTATATACTGAACCTATTCTTCCCCTAAGCAACTATATAAATCCACAGTAATCGATTCAATTATCATCAGAATCACTAACACAGATGCCTAATTTCCTCCATGACTAACAGAGCAAAATCGAAATTGAAATCGTAGTAAAAGTTTTTTCGCGGTTTGAAATCGAATCAAACACCAGTGATGTATAGACGAACGAATGAATTCAAATCGATTTAGTGTGTGTTTATGAGAAGAAGAATGGTTAGTCCGATCACGTACCAGTAAAAAAAAAACAGTAACAGATCGGGCGGAGAATAGGAAGAAGAGAAGAATCGAGAGCGATCCTCTGGGGGATTCAGAGGAGGTGGGAAAACGAAAGAAAGTCGCCGAGAAAATCAGAGAAAGTGATGGGACGCAAAAAAAAGGAGAAGAAGAAAGAAAAATGAGAGAAAATTTCGGAGAGAGGAGGCAAAAGAGCTGTGGAACAAATTATAAAGGCCTACGGGGAAGAAACAAAACAACCCTGGGGCTCTAATCACAATAATCCAGCAAATTTTCTTGAGGAAATTATTTTAAAAATTAAATTAAAAGGGCAAATCCATTTTTTCTCTGAATTTTCTTTATTTATTTTTTCTTAACATGTAAGATATTAGCTTTGAATGTCTAGAAAAATAGATTGTTTTTATTTGAAGAAAGTTATTGGGATAGGCATATAAGATTTATGATTCATGACACAATTGTCTAGATGTCGTTGGTCCGATGATGTGAGTGATACATTTTATCTTTTTTGTTTTTTCTTTCTTTTGATGTTTCAAAATTACTAGGTGATGGAACCAAATGGAGTATTTCTCTTATCCAGATAATTATCCAATATCTTTAGAAAAATATTACAACTTATAAAACTTCCCTGCATTAACAAATTAACTTTTGATTCCTACCAAAAAAAAAAATTAACTTTTGATTAGCTAATGTAACTAGAAAATGTTGGGACTAAACCATAATCTTTCGATTGAGACCTTTTCGATTAAATTAGTCTGTTATTATGTAAATACATATTTTAAAAAATAAAAATTTGCATTTTCGAAAATGTGGTTTTCCCCCAAAAAAGTATTATTATGTTCAAAACAATGTAGTTATATCATATATGAACACTTTTGAGTATCATTTTTGAAGGGAAAAATAGTGGTATGTTGGAGATTTACACACATTTGGCCAAGAGTGTGATATTTTCTTGGGATTAGCAAGAGAAATGGACTATATGCAGCATAGGAAAAAGCAAAAGATGCAAATTTATGATTAGAGAAACATAGATAACATAGAAAAAGACTTCTTAGTTAAACGATGATTTGTCCACATTCACTACCGGAGTAATAACTGAGTTATGACATATGATCATCTCAAAGAAGATCTAAGTGAGTATATTCCTTTATCGGTCAATAAGGAATCAATTACCACAAAGACCCTTAACTATTCACATTTTATTCTATCATATAGACCAAAAACAGGTTCAAGTATTGAAAAAGTTACTATGCGCCCCTTTATTTGCACTAAGATTGAAGAATCAACAAGCGTTACAACTTTTTCTGCAGGTACCGTAGTAGTCAGGAGAGCCAATCATATAGACAGGGTTTTTCTTGCACTCCCCAAGGTTAGCCCATCGTTCACAGTTTTCATCTTCATCACTGCATTCCCCACTCTCCTCATTTCTTGCTTGTTTCTTCGCATAGATCAGTTTTGTTGCTACTAACAGTTCTCCTTTTACCACAGGGCATCTCATATGAGTGCTTGTCTCATCCAAAGATGCATTCAAGAGTCTGCTGAAGAACAGAACTGCGTTTCCTTTCACTGGTCTTAAAATGTTACCGCCCTCTGAGCAACTCTTTTTGGGTTTCACCTGAAGAAATTGAGAACTCAACATTCATTGTGTTGTGCCAAATAAGAGATCTTTTTGCTTCTCAGGTTAGAAATCAAACTGACCTCTGAATTTGGGAAGAGAAGCTCTCCGCCTTGAGTTGTGTTTGAGAGGTAGAGAACGACGGTTGCCAGCAAAGATTCACTCGATACAGAGCTAGGTTCCTCTCCAAAATAATCCAACTTCTTTCCTGACATCTCAGAAGTGTAACTTCTTACCTTGATAGAGCCGCCATTTTCTGAAAAATGTGCAGCAAGAGAGAAACATAAGCCAGCAGTATGGCCACAAGAAAACAGGCCTTCCAATAGCAATCAATCACAAAGTATCCATCGATTATAAAACCAAGATAAGTAAGTTACCTCTTGGGAGGAAAGTCCAGGCAGAAATTTTTTCTTCAATCCCAGCAACTACTGGATCCTAGTTTATCCAAAATAAGGAATGCAACATAACATTGTTAAGGCCATTTCGATCAAACAAGGTGGAAAATGATATACTAGGGTGTGAAATCATCTCTGTTAACTCGATAAGGATGTATGAGAAAGGTATTCACTTACTACGTGTCACAGAAAACTAGAAGCCTATATCTCAGAGTCTATAACAACACTAGCGTCTAGTGTTTCAAGAACATTACAAAACATTTCCTGTCAAGCTTAGATATCTGCAAAGTTGAAGAATACTAAGAACTTACAAGTTGCGTCTTTCCATCAGCATCCCCTGAGCTAACCTCTGAAGTTTCTTTTCTCTACAGAAAAAAACTAACCATTACACAAAGAACAATGTATCACTATATCTCAAACACGGTAAGGACTGGAAATTAACCAGAGATATCAGATGATCAGACTCTTCCTCTGACAAGAACCCGCGGTAAAGGAAGACCCTGTACATACCAAATAGCTTCAGACCCCCCAAATTTGAAACAGTAAAACATACATTCCTATGTGCAGAAATGATCCATGATGGTAGAACCAGAGATATATCCATCAAAGTGTACCTGACCTTGGTTGCCATGAAAGCTGAAGAACACGTCTCGGGTCCACAAATTTAGATCCTAAAACATAACTCGCCTGTGTATCACTCTTACCCACATTTTCTTTATCTCGGAGTTCCTTCCGACTGCAGAGAGACAACAAATTTGAGATACAGGAACATAATTATAGCTAACAAAACCGGATTGTGATTAAAACTCAAACTAGAGATTCAAGTAATGCTAGAGATTCACCTTCCACCGGAACAGAAAGGAGAAGACGAAGAAGACATAATAATCATCAGAATTAGGAAGATTTGGCTAAGGCAAGCCATTGCTCCACACTGGTACTACTGCTACATCGCTGAAACGACGAACATCTTTCCCAATTTCACTGAAAAAATAAATCACCGATGCGATGTCACGACGTCGTTTAGTAAGTTGTGTCCTTCCAGGTTTTTTATATATCAAGTTTTTTTTTTTTTTTTTTTTTTTTTTTTTTTTTTTTGGGGCAAGTATATATCAAGGTTAACTTAGAAAAATGCCAAAATTTCAAATTACCCCTCAAATATTTTTTAATTTTTCAATTACGATTTATATATTATATACAGGTTTTTTTTACCTATTATCATTGGTTTCCTATGTTTTTCTGAAATAAAATTCTCTGTTTGTAGGGAGTATCAATTAATTTATGCATTGAAACTGGAGACAAAAGATGAAAATGAGCCCAAAAGCTGTGATCAACTTGTAAACAAACGTCACGTGGATAATTAAGGATATGCATGCAAAAAAAAAAAAAAGAATGTATATAGAATGTATGGATGGTACGTGTA